AGAAAGAGATGGGAAAAAGGTGAGATAATTAGCGGTGGTCAAGTGAAAGTCGAGGCGACCACTGAATCATCTTCATCCGGGCCATGTAACCCCGGCCCCCAAAGTGACGTAATCGTAAGGCGGCAGCTTGGGGCATCTGCCACAGGCCCAGAGATCATTGGCCTACAAAAAGCCGCCGGCTGAAGATCATCATCATCATCATCGAGATGTTACCACTGGGTGTGTGATAAAGCCAAACCAGTTTACCAGTTTATGTTTTTCTTTTTTTCTTTTTTTTTTGGTAGTTCTAGTTCTGCGTGCTTGCAGGTGCCCCATTTCAATATTACGTATACGTAGCGGTGGCCGCCGAATAACGGGCCACCATTCCAGCCGTTCCCAGCCATAATCCATGTATCTGGGTTGCCCAGAACGAGTATGGCAACCAAAAAAAAACTGGTTATCGCCGCTGAAGAAGACCATGCAAATAATTATTATGGGCAGTGGGAAAGAGAGCTGGGTAAAAGCCAGGGCATTCTTGGGCCGAAATTAACGAAACCGTTTAATGAATGAAATAGAAAGTACTTAGTACGAAATGAAACCTCGCTAACAGAGATCTCAAATCTCAGCGAAAGTGCAGTTTCGAAAAGAAAAAACAGAAACTGAATCGGAAGGGGAATAGGAATCTGAATCGACATCGGACTTCCCCAATCACGTGCGGCGAAAAATAAAAAAACACACACAAAAGCTTTCTACCAAACCGGAAATTTCTCACCAGGCCAAAAGGAAAATATTATTATTATTGGCCAGCTGATGGCGAGGGGTAGAAAGTGCTAGCTCACGTATTTTGGGTCAAGTCGAATCGTTTCTCCTCTGGCTAACATTCTTGCCCCATTCTGTCAGTCAGTGTGAGTCCCAGTCCAAGTCCAAATCCAAGTCGAAGTCCACCACGCCTACGCCACCATGAATACCAAGTCCGGCACCAAAACCGACAAAACTGGGTCAGATGCATAAGGCGCGACGGCATTAACACCAATCGTTCTTCTCTCTTTTGGGTTCTTGGGATTGGCTATTGTATGGGTATGGGTATGAGTGTGGGTATGGGTATTGGAATTCCACTAAACGAATTTGAATTTCACGCCAGGCCAAAGAAAAGAGAAGACTGTATACAAAACAAACAGAACCGTTTAGCTTAACTGTAAAATACACTGGAACTATCGTAGTTGGACATGTCAATTTGCCAAACCGATTCTTTCTTCTCTCTCTCTCTCTCTTTCTCTTTCTCTCTCTATTTGTTTAATTGTTTGGATTTCTTTCGTTTTTAGCACTTCCATAAAAGTCCCGAAGACGAAACGCGGCGAAGAAACAGAAACGTATGGTGGAAGACCACGTCAAAGAGATGGAGGAATTCTTCGCCTTAGGCTCGGCTCACGAACAAGTTAAGCGACTTCTGGCTGGCTTGTCCAACCATTCCCGTCTCTTTTTTCTTTTTTTTTCCTGGGATACGATCTTAACGGTAAGTTTCCAGACGCATAACTGTGAGTGTGCTGGCAGGAGTATTGATTTCCATTCGGACATCCACTATTCATATGCAAATATCCAAGCGGAAAACAGGTAGGAAACACTCACAATGGTTTTTTTTTCAGAATTAGAACGATCCTCAGATCTCTTTATTGTTTAAGTATCTGTATCTTGTATCTGGATATCACGATCACGACGCGACTGCACCTTGCGAAAGCCAAAAGCCGACTGACCAGCACTCAAGGTTCTCAGCGCTGGTAAGTCGCCAAGGCCGGGAATTCTCCGGAGAAAGTGTGCTACTCTCCCGAAGAGCAACGATCGCCTCTCTTAAGAGACCATCACCTGTTTACCTGTCCCACACACAAACACACAATTTTTTGTGGGCCATAAAACATTCGGTAAACTGAGAAATTCAGAAATTCAGAAATTACCACTTCACCATTTTGCAAATGTTTTTATTAGCACCCCGCACCCTTCTATTTTGGCAAAAAGGATACAAAGGAACCCCCGGAGTGTGCCTACTTTAGCGGATTAACGTGTTACCCCTATCCCAAATGATCATCATTTTTGCACATTTGCATTGTCTGCGCGGCTTAGTTATGCAAATCTCAAGTGGCCTTGCATGTTTGCATATTTTTTGGCCAACATCTTGTTACATATGCTAATTTTGCAACTCCTGATCCCGATTTCGATCCCGATCTTGAGAAGTTGTTGACGTCGCCCTGTTGCCAAAACATTGCAGATTGCAATTACCAGTATGCGAATCTAATGAACAACTAAATGCATTTGCATATGGCCTGGGAAAACTGAGTAAGCCGATGAGCTGGGGATTTGCGGTGAGTCGGGGAAATCAGTCAACAGTTTTGCATAAGTAGAAGAAAATACTATTAAAAAGAATCTTTATTCATTTATATATTTGAGCTTTTACTAAATTGAGACTAAGAGCTTACTTATATTTATCATGAGAACAGGATAAGTAAACATTTTTGAATATAACCAGTTAATTGATACTTAGCAAACTAAATTGTGTTTTTTGAAATATACTCAGTTACAAGATACAAGACAAACCATTAAAAACTTTATAAAACAAATCAAAGATTTATTTTGAGAAGAACTTGGCAATAATAAATTTGGTTTAGTGGCAGAATAAATTTACACTTTAGTTTACTTAAAATTTGATATCAAGACTGTCTAAATGCCAATAACAATACTAATTAGAGTCGGCCACCCATTTCCTAGACATAGTCTGATCCTTTCTATTTCTAAACCCATGTCTAGGCAAATGAGCAGAGAGACAATCCTTCGCGTCCTTCGCGGATGTTCCCAGGCTCCTTTCGATCGATCCCCCGAGAGACAGAGACACGCAGCCGTCGCGCATCCTTCGTTTCGAGGCAAAATCTTCTCAAGACAAAACTTCACACGACCAGATCGGCTAGAAATTTGAATAAAACGCTGAATAAAAAAAAACTGAAAGTGGTAAAAAAAAGTGAAAAAAATTCATAAAAAAAAAGCGAAAGAAAAAAAGTATTTATCATTCCGGGCGAGTGTGAGTGCGAGATCGTATTATACCTGGGCCCGAGGACCTCAGGCAAATAGATAAGGAGTTGGTGGTGGTGGTTGAGCCTTCGTCCTTCGTATGCAAATCGCTCGCCCGAGTCCGCGATGATTCCTTTTCAATTCGAACAATGCCGAGGGTCGCCGCCCTGTCCTTTGGCCACACATGTTTGTCTGCGTTTTTTCTGCATTAATCGTCCTATTCGAAAAAAAATGATTAAACCCTTTCGTTCGGTAAATTTTTTTTCCAAGATTTTTCCCCGTTTTTGTTAGGTTCATCTTTTTTTTTTTTGCTTAAGTCATCCCGTTGTTGTAATTTCACTTTTCCGTGAGAACTTTTGATGGGTTTGGATTTAAATAAGAAGAAATAGGATGCTCAGGTGTGGAATAACAAAATTTTTTTTTAGAAAAAAATATATAAAATAAAATCGAAAATGAGGAAAATGAAGAGTATGAGAATATGAGTACACATATGAGTTTTGTAAAAATATATGTATAAACGAAATAAAGAAAAACTATTCGCTGATATAGTTTCTCAACTAATATACAAAATCTTGTGTTAAAAAAAGGATTCTACAAAAAATGAATTTTGAAAATACTTTCAAATCTTGGGTGAGCCGAACTTCCAATTTCCGTAATAAGTAAAATATGACTTAAATAAAGTATAGTCTTAATTTATAATTTTTTTTTATAATTATTTCCAAATATGTAAGGACGCAAACACTTCTTAAAAAATGTTTAAAGTCTAGCTAAATCAAAAATTCTAGACCCCTTTCAGTTGCGGTTAAATTTGATTTAGCTCGTCAAGTCCATTTTCCTCAAGACCCAAGGCGATTTATGTTTAAATAATCGAGCTGCCTGCATCGTCGTGCCCTGCATCCTAAGCAATTCACCCCCCGGCGTGATGTACGATGATGTTCTTGGGCTGGAAGGGATTCAATCGGAGATCTGACCGAGTTTTCTCAATTTGCATATCGAGGGTCGCGAACTCTTTTGAGGGGTGCTATCGTCGGGGCAAGGGTTTGTCATGGGAACAAAAGATGCATTCAACGCCGAAGAATAGACGAAATCAATATTTGAGGTAATTAATTAACAGCATCAATATTGGAAAGAGGAAACCCATAACAATATTCACATTTAGCAATCAATTGACTGACGTTAGAATGTTATCTTGAATATTATCAACAAAAGTCATGTGGCTTGGTGGTATTATCGTGTTTCATGAGTAAAAAAACATTTTATACAATACAAGGCGAAGAATGATTAAATTTTCTAGTACCAGACATTACTATTTAAGTATAATTATTATAATCACAAAAATTCATATTTATTTCTAAATTGATAACACAAAAAATTAAATTCAAAAATTTAGAAGCATAATTAAACTATTAAAGAAAATTATATGTATTCTATTATATTGGTAAACGTGTTTACATGATATAAAAAAAGCCACAAAATAATTTATTTCCGTTCTTATGTGTAAAACAACCAGCTGGTACAAATTATTTAAATTGTCCATCAATTCAAATTCAGCGCTCACCGAATTCATCTTTTTTATGCGGTCTGGCAGCCACGCTATTCAAAATTGTTCAACACTGAACATAGCAATAACAAGGGGCGCGAAATTTAAAAAAAATTTTCAGTATATAGACATAAAAAGAAGACTTTCAGAAGTTTTACAATTTTTAATGTACCGAAATATTTTAACTTAAGCTGTTGTTTTTAAAAACAGCACCAAAAAACATGCATTAATTGAGACTTTGAATGAAATCAAGAGTTTGAAAGCATACTCATAAATCTTCATCTTCAAATTTAATTTAGTATTAAGATAAATAACTAAGTTAAAACAAATTACAAGGAATCGTGTCTGTTTAAAATCACCTGCTTCGCTGTGTGACCACATTGCATTTGCTATCTGTGGTATTTTTTAGCACGATTCATCGGCCAGCGTCTGCGGTCACACCAACGCCAAGGTACGTGTCCAAAATCATGAATCGAAAGTAAATCAACAATGCTGCTGCTGCGGAACGTAAATGATCGCTAAACTCGTGAAATTGACCAGTGCGAATAGCAGGTGCACAGTCCACTCTAAAATTCAGATGCACTTCGTCGGCGAAACGGTAAACATCTGAGCACGCAGCAACAAAACACAGCAGCGACAAAAACATTAACTACAAAAACAGCGACAGCGGAGAGCGCCAGCAACAGCAACAGTCACCGAAATAGCAACATCTGAAAGAAAAACAAAATGACTATACACACAGTGCAGCGAAATCTATGGGCATCCTGCGTAGTCGTCCTGATCCTGCTCCTCTACTGGACGGACCCCACCCGCGGATACTTCGCCGCCATCGATGAGGACAAGACCAGCAAAAACTGCTTCTGCGAGGTGGGTTTTAATTGAATTACTAAATATAGTATATGGTAAATGGGATTATATACTATCTATCTATATTTCATACTTCTCAACATTAATATTAATGGTTGATACCAATTTTTATTTTAATTTCAAATAAAACCCTCATATATATTATTTATGGTAATATTTTTAATTTAAGAAATTAAGACCAGCTTGGGAAGAAAACATATGTTTTGTATTTTTCATCAAGAAAATATAGAATTTTTTATAGCACTTGTAAAAAGCAGTTTTATTTTAATAATAATATTTATATTTTGCTATCTTCAAAACAATGACATTAAATTCATAATGATAAATTAAATACATACAAATATCTGACAATTATAAAAATATAAATTAATTAATTAACTTGTTTCGTTTTTAAAATTTGCCACCCATTTTATAAAAGTTTGATTTATATTTATAATGCTCGTATCACCACCGCAACTGTATGATATTTATATATATATTTCGCAGTTGGAGGGATCTATAAACGACTGCAGCTGCGATGTGGACACCGTGGACCACTTCAACAACATGAAGATCTTTCCGCGGCTGCAGAGTCTGCTGGTGAAGAACTTCTTCCGCTTCTACAAGGTGAACCTGCGGCAGGAGTGCCCCTTCTGGCCGGACGACAGTCGCTGTGCGATCCGCTTCTGCCAGGTGGAGAACTGCGAGGAGCAGGCGATTCCCCAGGGCATCAAGGACAAGGGGGAGCACAAGGAGAAGGCGTCGTTTAAGGTGGGTTTCGGTGTTTCGCGGGTATTTCCATTACCCAGCTATCAGCACTACGCCCCTTATCGTATTCATTCTTTGGCTAAAGTCATTGGTACTGCACTATCTACCTGAACGCTCAATGGGTTTGCAGGTGATTTATATATTTATTCGATTGTTTGGTGCTCCACAAGATTGAACGCATCTGCAATCTCCCAGTGAGCGCACGCGGGTAATGATGTGGCCTTTGATTTTGTTTTGCAATGCTGACGTGGTTTTGGTATCTCATCAAGCGTTCATCCGCCCCTTGAATAAATTTCAAATCGATCTTTCGGAGTTACTTAAGGATTGATGAATCATTCCTTTGGGTACTTTTGTATTTTAAATAATCCTCAATTATCGCAGGCAATGAGCCCTCTATTTTCTAAACAATTAACTGATAAAACAATATTTTTTTAAATTGTTTTTAACAAAAGTGCTTGTTATCTTCATACGCAGACAAACACTTTGTGGACTTTTTTTAAGATTGAGACTCGTAGATTGTACAAGGGAACAAAACCTTTTTATTAAGCAGATATTTTTGAAACTAAAGGTTATCTATCTTTACTGATAATGCTGAACAAGAATGTTTTAACTCAAAAGAGTCGATACTGCAGTGCAAAACTCCCCTTCAATGAAATTATGACTGACTTACAATTCCAGCTACCTTATTTACACAGTTGTTTTACTTAACTTACTGACTTCCTCATCTGAATTTTAACTTTACAGTATACGCGGGAGGCGCAAGTGGAGGGCGGAGCCTGCTCGGATGGTGAAGACTTCGACAGTTCGCTGGGCTTCCTGGACACGAGCATCAGTGACCAGGCGCACCGGGAATTCGAGCTGTGGGCAAAGCACGACGAGGCGGAGGAGGACTTTTGCATTTTGGACGACCATGAAGAGGGCTCTCAGTATGTGGATCTGCTTCTAAATCCCGAGCGGTACACCGGTTATCGCGGAGAATCGGCTCACCGCATCTGGAAGAGTATCTATCTGGAGAACTGCTTTGGTGGCAACAACGAGACGGCTAATAAGTTCTCCAGCTATGTGCCCCACATGGACCTGCGAGATGTGTGCCTGGAGCAGCGTGCCTTTTACCGCATTATCTCTGGCCTGCACTCCAGCATCAACATCCATCTGTGCTCCAAGTACCTGCTGTCCGAGTCGAAGGACTTCCTCGATCCGCAGGGCGTCTGGGGTCCCAATGCCAAGGAGTTCAAGAAGCGCTTCAGTCCGGAAACCACAGGTGGCGAGGGTCCACACTGGCTGCGCAATCTCTACTTCATCTACCTGGTGGAACTCCGCGCCCTGGCCAAGGCAGCTCCCTATCTGCGACGCGAGGATTACTACACGGGCATTGCCGAGGAGGATGACGAGGTCAAGCTGGCCATCAACGATCTGCTAACTGTTGTAGAGTAAGTAAACGGAAGAGAATAACTATTTATACACATATATTAATGAAGCTTTCTTTTTTTTTTTTTTTTTAGAAATTTCCAATCGCACTTTGATGAGAACGCACTCTTCAGCAGCGGCATTGCCTCCATTAAGTTCAAGCATGACTACAAGGAGAAGTTCCGCAATATATCGCGCATCATGAGCTGCGTGGGCTGTGACAAGTGCAAACTGTGGGGCAAACTGCAGACCCAGGGACTGGGCACAGCTCTGAAGATCCTCTACTCGGAGAAGCTTAACCTGGCCACAGAAAGCGGGCTGTGGGACAAGCCGCACATCGAGGCGGATCCCATTTTTAGGCTGTCGCGTACAGAGATTGTAGCCCTTTTCAATGCTTTCGGAAGGTAGGTTTTCATTGACTACAATCTATCATATATTTATAATACCCCCCTACCTTACAGATTATCCAACAGCATATACGAGATGGAGAACTTCCGGCGTGTGCTGAGGTAACCCAGCAAAACTGGACCACGACCAGGGCCAACCGGATCCCATTCGCCTCACAGGAGCAGCTCTGCGCCGCCGCCGAAGCTCCACCTACTAGTTAATTCACACGCACATCGCTGGGGCTGCATCTTGGGCATCCTCCTGAATGCGGTTTCCCTTCCATAGTTCGTAACACATGACCGGCCAGAGGCTATAGCAACCCCAGGATAGCTGTTTCCCTGTACATACAAACTATTAACCCTAGGCTACTTGTACTTTAGCGCACCACCGTATCACCCTCAAAATGAAGGAAACCAAATGACAAAAATAGAGCCCAGGACGGATGCAGGTGTTTATACTCATAAGTTAGGATAGTATTTATTTTACCTGGAGGAGTTTGTGAGCAGAACTTAATGAGATCGTAATACGCATTGTGCAATAACTCGACCTTACGACACAAGGATTCAAAATAAAACGTACAGTCAGATGTTTCTATTTGAAAGCCCCCCCTTTTTCACATCTCCATCGATACCGGGGCCTTAGCAACCGAGTTGTTTGCCTTTCCAGCTGTCAGCCTTTGTGACATTTACAAATTGCTATCCGGTTGATCTGCACTTCGATTGCTCTTTTGCTTATATTTTATCTGCGAAATGGTGGTTCTACAAGTGAAACGCGGCGACGAGGTACTCTTTCTGTTCGAGACCAGTGTTAAGGAGAAGACCGATTCGGTGCTGCGGGATCTGGTGGGCCTGTACAATGGTCAACTGAAGATCCAGCGTGTCTGCATGGAGATCGAGGAGCTGGCTGAACATGGCACCATGCTACCGGGCGAAATGGTTGGCCTCAACGAGGAGCAGCGGGAGGAGCTGAAGCTCAAGGATACTTATGCAGACAAGTGCATACCATCAGGCGGTTTCACCATCAACAAGGATCCTCTGCTACGCCGAAATGGGCAGCAACCAACGGAGGCCATGCAAAAGGTCCTGGCTAATGCCATTACCGATGCCAAGGCTATGGTGGATCGGGTAAGCTAGGGGATATGTGGATTATTAAGAAGAACAGGGTTCTGATAGAAAAACAGGTCTGTAAGCCAAACAACCGACCCATCTGAATAGTGAACTATAGTTTCCTGAATTATATCCTCGCAGAGGGTATTATAATTTCGTCAAAAGTTGGCAACGCATTTCCGATGTATATATAGACTCTCAGCATTATTTAGAGAGTCGATCTAAACGTCCCGTTAGTCCGTCCGTCCTTTTGTCCGTTTCTACGCTAACTAGTCTAGTTAAAACTTTTCCAAAAATCGACTATTTATTGCAGATAGTACATAAATTGTTTTTAAATTTATACGATAAAGAAATAAACTGTTTTAAATCGAAATGTTGTGGCTTTTTAGACCATTTTATTTTTGTAATAGTTAAATGTTAAAATAAAACCTAAACCCCTTTCAGCGACTGGTCAAGTCCTCCAAGACCTTGACCCTTAAGGTCATAGAAGAGGCCCTGAACCTTCTCCGAGGTGCCGTGACCATCGTATATCCCATGCAATTGCCGCCCTACGATACCATTCGCATGGAGTTCTCCAACACCGAGGATCTGTGTGGCACTCAGGCCTCCAAGGAGGTAATAGAGCCCTCCAAGGCTCAGTTCTGGTTTGCAGGTCGCCAGATGCTGATGGGCAAGCTGATGAGCGAGTACTTGGGACATAATGACAAGACCAAGGTGAGTGTCCTTACACCGATAAAAAGAGGAATAGTAAATACAAATATTTGACTATTGAACTCAAAATGTTATATTGCATGTTTAAATAACATTATATCGTAATGAAATTAACAAACGCTCATTTGATGTGAAGCCATATCATTAACCCTTTTAAAAGTGTGAACAAAAAATATGAGAAACTATTAGAAAAATTGTATTCTTATATTTTATGTATCTAAAAAAATTCGCTTCAAATAAGGGCTAAGTATAAAATCATATTATGAAAAACAATGCATATTAACTTGAATGATTTTATATTAAAATAATTTAAATTAATGTGTAAAATATTTGATTTTAGTTGATATGCATTCTTTAAATAAAATATGGCTAAAATTTAGTATTTCAGATATTAAAATCGAAACAGAAAAAAATCACATTAAATATTTAAAATTAATTTTAATAAATCTATATATAAATTAACTAAAAACCGTAAGGGAAAATATTTACAAGAAGTATAAAATATTTGTATTTACTATATTGTTTTATCAGTGTGGGAAATAGCCATTCCACCCTTTGTAAACTAACCCAAAACTCATATTAGGTAGTCGTCAAGATAAATCAACTGGGTGAAGGACCTCCAGGACGTGAGGCAGTGATCTCCGATCCCATGCGACGCCAGATGATGGCCGAAGCCTTTAAGCGCCAGGAGGAACTCAAGGTGAGTCACCCTTTTTTGTAGAGAGAATTTCAAATGGTGTTTTATTTGCTATAATACGAGTATAAGATATATATGTATATCAGATAACATATAAGTAGGTACTGCTGCTCCACCGGTTAAACTAGTTTAAGAAAACGTTGAATATTGCATAGCTACAAAGTCGAGAGTTAAGGCGATTCGGATGCCTATTTATCCTTTTCTAGAGGAGGCTACTTCCTTGGTCTGTCCTGGTTTTTTTCTTTCTTTTTTTTTGTTCAGCAGATGTCAGTTGGTCTATGCTATATACGCTATATAAATGCAACTTTGTCTAAGGCGCATCCGCTACTGAACTTCTAGAGTGGGGATCGGGTAAATAAAGCTCGGCCATCTTCAACTCGTTGTGTTCATCTGAGGCTATATAACCAGTATATATGTGTGATTATCCTTATTTAACCAAGAAAAGTAAAGAACCGTATTGTTCTGATCTGTTCTGCTAGTTGGTGTATAAACGTTGTATAAATGCGCTGAGTAGAATTTAAATTCAGTTCCCCTTGCACAATGCACAGGTCCATAAAGTTTGGTGCTGTTTTTTCATGGTCTTATACATGTTATCCTCTTTGGAATCCTTTTTTTTTCAATGCGAAACTTGCCTTGCAAGTTGCGGTTAATCCGCTTAAAGTATGACTAATGGTTTCTCCGGCACATCGCATGTTGTAGCCTTCTCCTGATCTTGGTCGAAATTCGGCTCACTGGTTCTCGAATCTCCTGTAGGACTAAGTGGTATCAGTGACTTGGTGCTGCCGATCATCTCTTGATTGTCCAGCGGAAGTCCATGGTCCGAGAGCTCCTGACCTCCAATGGCCTGGTGCTCCAAGTCGACCACATCGTCGTCCGTATCGTACATCTGATCCTGCTGTTTGTTGGCCAATCCCGGACCAAAGACCTCATCGTTATCCGACTCATCACCGGCACAAACACAACGCATCTTGGCATCGTCGCCCACCTGAAAAGGAAATTGAAGAAAAAGGCATACATAATATGTTTTTAAATTGAACCATAAGAATTTTAGAAAGAGTATTAAATACTAAAGTTTAAAATAAGATAAAATAGAGCATTGGAAACATTATAAATTCCAAAAAATAGATCATAGTATGCAGTCTTTTAACCCTTAAATGTCAATGAATATTAGAAAAGTTTAAAATATGTTTCTCTGTTTAGAGTATTATTTAATACCCACCTTGACGGACTTGGTAATGATGCACAGAGAAATAGAGGACACCACGAACAGTACAATGGGCACTATCAACGACACCAGTAGCTCTCTGTAGACCTTGTCCAAGTCATAGCGTGCCACCACAAACTCCACATTTGAATCCTGTGAGACGTAATGCAAACCTCTAGTAAACTGATATCACAAGTGAAATTTAAGTGGTACCTTGTTATAGTAACACTGGTAGCGTGACTGGGCGGTGTTGTTGTCGCCATCGTTGCCATAGCGAGCCACAAAGTCCTTGCACTCCCCTTTCAGTGTATTAACGCAGCCCTCCAGGTTGATGAACAGTTTCTTCCAGCTGTAGATGGTCAGGTTGGCCTGGTTGGGCAGGTACCTTTGCTCGGGATCCACCGACCTGGTGCTGTTATCATAGATAGCCCAAAACTGGGTGAAGTTCATGAAGGGAGCGGGCAAAGTGTCATGTTCCAAAAGCGTTCCATTCAGGCAATCCGTGGCACTATTTGGAAATCCAGTTAGTTAGCAACATCATGATCATTTAAGTCGTTTAGTTTATACTCACGTAATGCGATTGTCGGACTCGCGGGTGACCGTAGCGCAGTTGGTCAACAGGTTGCCATCGTCCTCCTTCCAGAACTCAAAAGGTTCGATGCGGACGCCATGCTCGGATCCTCGTGCCTGGTTGAAAGCCACTGCGTTCTCGCAATCAGCTGTGATTAGGTTGTCCTCCTTTAATGGATATAGTTATATAGGATTAGGAGAATTTCCAATTTAAAAAATTTCCTATAATTATACCCGTTGCTCGCCAGTAATTGTTTCTTCGGCCAATATATATCGACACATAAAAAGATATATTTCAAATCGAACCATTATTTTAGCAGTTATAAGGAAATTTTGAATTATGACGTCATTTTTGAAAATCAGTTCACATATTTTAGAGAGTGAAAGAACTGTTAGTTTACAGTACGGCAGATGGCGCCACCTAAAACCCAATTGTTAGCTGAGTAGCGGATATATAATAGTCGAGTATAGCATATTCTCTTTCTTAAACTTACATGCATAATGAGTGTATTCACATTCGCTGTCGTTATCTTGGAGCAATAGCGATCGCAACTGAAGGGCTTCTTAATCTTGGTGCAGTGCACCCCATGGCACTCAAAGAATCCATTCAGTTTGGTGTTATCCTTTTGCGAGTTAATCGTATGCCCATCGGCCTTGTGGTGGCACAGAAAGAACTCCGACATGTTCTTGCAGTGCCCTGTGATTATTGCAATCAGTTAGTGAAACTTTATAGGCTCTGGGGTGTATAACTTACCATTGGAGCAGTTAAACACTCCTCTGATGTTGTTGCAGGCGGTGCCATTGTTGCAATTGAACTTGTTCAGGCGACTCAGGTCAATCTGCAAGGGGATAACGAAGGATAATGGCCATTCAATGATCGTTAAACTCGAGTTGGCGCCAAGTGCCCATAAAGACTGAGGGGCAAATACTCAACATGCCTTGCCCCATCGTCTTGCCATTAGTAGCCACAAACCAAAGTGGGCTAAGGATGAGTCATGGTCGAACTCATCCTTAAGTGGGATGCCTAAGAATATGACGTCTTAAACTGTGGGTGGTCATGGGTTGGTCGTTTAGTTAAAGGTAGTCCTACAGTTGGTCACAAAAGTGTTTCCTTTTTTAAACTACATGTAAAAGTATATCATAATTTTTGAAGTTAATTGTTTATTTTATTATATTATTTTTTAACTATCATAATAAAAAGCTGACTTTTATAACTTTCAATAGTTAATAAATATATTTTCTTACACTAATTAAAAAAAAAAGCCACTCAATGTATAACGCTATTTAAAAAATTTAACTCAAACCATAATTTT